GTCACCAGGGAGGGCCCACTCTTTGTGTTGTAAAATTAAACACCAGGAGAAAAAAGTACATCACTGAAAATAGTGAGTTTGAAAGTGGGAAGGATAGCATTGTTTAAAGAATACAGTAATTGTCTTCTAGAACAGAGAATCCTAAAGAGATAATAATTGTGATTAAGAAATAAGGACAGTTTTTGATGCATACTGCCATTTGGACAACTTCTATAAACAAGACATTCTGAGATGTAATAGGGATGCAATCTTAAGATTCTTCTGATTTAAATAGCAAATTTATTTTTAATGGTCATAAATATACTTCAAGAAATAAGTTGTTTAAAATACATTGTTTCTTAATGGAGAGGGCAGATTTTAACCTGAAAATATGTACCTGCTTCACAGATTTTGAAAACACATTCAAATGCTCACATTAATTTAATTCCAGTTGGAAAACACAGTCTTTAACAACAATTTCATTTATGTTTTATAATTAGTAAATCTGTTTTATCTTGAAACTTGATAACTTTTATTTGTTCTGACTTTATATATTTATTTTTCTCATACCAAAATAGTTCTATTAATGTTTTAGGGTCTTAAATTCTACAAAAGAACTTTTAAAGAAGGAAAAGAAGTTGCATACCCTTGAGGATGAACAAATATACTTTCTGTTATCATTTGTGGAATTTTGGGAGAAATTATTATTGCCTAAACCTCTCAATTTAATTGATGTTCCCACATTTCATAATCTCCCATCTGTCACTGAGACTATTCTGAATACAAGTCATTTATGGATAAATCATTTAAAAAAATTAGAAGGAGATCTATCTGTTACTAACAATCAGAATCTTCTAGAATTCAGCAAAGTCATGATAAAAAAGATACAACAACATCTCTGGATAAGGGAAGAATCAAGAAATATTTTCAGATTTATAGAGTCAATACTTTTTGAAATTGATCCCAAGTTACCGGAATTTTGGATGTATGGTTTTTCCAAAGGAGAAAGAATGAAACTGGAAAACTTGTCTACACTTTTAAATTTTTCTGTTCCATATGAGACAATTCTTGGTGAAAATTTTAAGTTTTCTCAGTTGTTTCATTCAAATTGGTCTAGATCACCAACCATGAAAATAGATTTTGTACAATTTAGTGAAACTATAATAAATAATCTTTATGAACTTGGATTTCTGAGACAAGAACACATTTTAGAAGCTCTGGATATGGTCTATACACTAAAGAATGCATCTTATTTTTTCTTCGCCCTTTCTGAACCTCAAAAACAAGAACTTGGTAAAATTATAACTTATATATATATAAATGTCCTCAAAGATAAAGATTCAGTTTTACTTCTGCAAATTTACTCATCACTTTACCAACATATCTATAAATTTTTGAGCATTCAGAATAGAGAATCTTTGTTGTCTTTTCTTACAGAAATCTCAAAACACATTTTGAATATCATAAAACAATTTAATTTCCAAAACATCGGTAAGGCATTTGCATTTTTATATGAGACAACAAGTGTTCTTTGGGAACTTTCTGAAGTATCTTTTTGTCAACAACTGCTTTCAATTTTTAACTTTTTGGAGAATCAAGCCCAGTCCTTGGTATCAACTGAGGGCCCAATATTGGAAGTGATCCATACTGCATTGACAGGCCTTAAACAACTGTTCATAGCTGACAAAGATTTTCGTAGTTCTTTGTTTCAGTATATGAGCCAACTGTTTAATGGTTCAATAGAAACCTTATTTGGTAATGAATGCTTTACCTTGGGTAAGCAAAGCATTTTTCCTGTTAATTATTCAGTTGTCGGGGGATCTTCATTTATTCTTCCCTGGGTAGGAATCCTATCAAACTTCTCAACAAATGATAGTGTGTTAAATGAGATTATGACCATTCACTGCACTGTTTCATGGCTTCAAATGTGGATTGAAATCTGGGAAAACATATCTCACACATTTAAGTTGGACATAGAAATTTTCACGACTCTTCATGTTGGCCTCACTCAACTTTTGGATGAACTGGAAGGTGATATGAAGATCTCTAAAAGCTGCCAAGGAACATTTCTTGCCCATAATCCTGCTAGGCTTATATTAAAATTCTTTAAGAATGTAACTCAAGCTGATGGCTTCCATGATTGGTATGATTTTCTGAATCTTAAGGGTCTCTGGGTAGCCTTAGATGATTTGTTAATTAGAGTAAAGTTGCTTAATGAGGACCAAGTGGAAAAATCCCTTTCCTCTATGGAAAATGTCCTGAATCAGGTAAAAGCATTTCCATTAAACATAAATGCTAGCCAAGAATTTTTGTATCCACTGCTTGATATTTTCATCAAGTTAAGCAATACCTCAGACTATGTAGCTAAAAATGCATATTTGAGAAATCACTCTCTTTCAAATAACATCACAGATTATGGAGTAGGGTTTCAAAGTGTCATCACAGAACTGAGAAAAACAATAATATTTCTTAGAAATCTGTCCCATGACCCACATTCATTTTCTTGTGTTGATATTTTCCAAAATGTTACTGATTTTATTTTGAAAGATGGACCATTATATGTAAACACTTCTCAGAGTACATTACAAATTCTGGGCATGTTAAAATCCGAATTTACCTCAGAGGACACTGTTAACAAACTGAAAGGGTGCATCGAATGGGTAAACATCACAAACCATCTCTTTGTGATGTGTAACTCCAGTGTTTTGAAAGGACATCTTGAGGGCATTTTGAGGAACTTCAGAGATGTGGAAAACAAAATCAACTCAAGTTTGAAGCTTATTATTTGGTTGTTAAATAATAAGCCTTGTTTTTTGAATATATCAAACATAAATTGTGTGAATATTTACTTGAAAAGTGTAACTGACATTCTTAATGTTATACTCACTGATGTGCTTGAGCAGGAAAAGTTACCAGAATTTGAGATTTTTTCAACTCTTTTGAATGATTCTGCAAACCAAATAATGATGATTATTAATAACTTAACGAGAGACATTGACTTCACATCTCAATCCAACTGGAAACAGTTTATGGAATTAATTTTAAAACCCACAGAAATGTCAGGTGATATCCCTAAACAATTTAAAAATGTTTGGCTGCACATAGTAGCCCTGGGGAAGGAAATTCAAAATCTTGTGACAGATCTTTTGCTAAACAGCCTGGAAAATAGCTCCTCTTCTAAAACTGAACAAATTTTAAATATATTTGCTACCAGTCTAAAGGAAAATACTATAAATAGTTTAGGCAATTTATTTTCTTATTTAGCTAGTTACCTTGCTGCAAACTTATCTCATAATTTCACAAATTCATCAAGAACAATTCCATATGAAGTAATGAAAACTGTGGCTCTTGGTATTCAGCTGATGAGGGATCTGTTCATCTCCTACATGCCCTTAGTCCATCACTATACTCCACAAGATCCAGATAACATTCACGTTTTAAAGAAGGTTGCTTCTTTTCTACGTACTTTTAAGAAGACAGACATAGATCTGCTCATAGATCAACTTGAACAAATTAGTGAAAGCCTAATAGACTTCTCTAAAAACATCAGTAAGTTAGGTATTGGCAATTTGGGGACAAACTTGCTTGTTGGTTTGATGGAAAAATTTGTGGACAGCTCACATTCTTGGAATGTTAATCACTTGCTAAAGCTTTCATATCTGTTTCCTAAAGATGATGCTAATACTGTGGTTGATGTGTACTATGCAATTCCTCATGCTGTGAGGCTCCTTCAGAGAGTTATTGACAAAAATATCACAGAAATATTCAAGGATGTCTACAGTTTCACACTCCTTCATGGTATAAACTTTTCAAACATCACCAAGAAAGACTTTGCTATTGTGATAAAAACTTTTTTGGATACAATTGAATTAATATCAAATAAGCCAAATATTCTTTCAGAAGCTTTAACTTGCCTTCCTAAGATTTGGTGCAGGAATCACACAAATTCTGGATTTCAGAACACTCCAAAGGTAGAAGCATGTAATATCCAAGAGCTCATGTCTTCTTCCTTTTACAGCAAAGTGGACATGATACTTCACCACCTCCACCTGTCTCCTCCAGAAGAGTCACAATGTTCAAATGAAAGTTCACAGATAGAAATAACTAGAAGAGTAGTCTGTATAATTCATGAGTTAGTGGACTGGAATTCCATTCTTCTAGAGCTGTCTGAAATCTTCCAGGTTAAAATTCCACTTACAAAAATTGCACAAGAATTTTGGCATAAGGTATTGCCATTTGTCTCAGCTTTTGAAAATCAAAGCAATGACAGCATCTCTGAATTTTGTACTAATAAGTCCATGAAGCCAGTTATTTTGAAAATCATAGAAAATTTAAAAAATATTAACTTTACAAAAATTACATCAGATGAAAATATTCTTGATAAAATAGTTAGTTTAAGTTTAAACACTATACTTAACATAAATGAAGGCACAGAGGCATTTGCTCAAAATAATATTTCCTTAAGTTTTAAAAAGATAATAAGTTCACTTTTTGAAGAACAGATCCTTGAAGATAGTATTCCTTCCTTAGTTTCTCCATTAATGGTGTTCCTGAATGCAAACATTATAGGTAATAGTTTAGAAACATTATCAAATTTGATTAAAAAAAATGAAACATCTACTGACTTTGGAGAAATGTGGCTAGAGTTGGAACAGACCATGGAATATCTAAGCCATGACTTCAGTATCAGACAACTGGTCTCTGAAGTTAACAAGAAATTTACGGTGACTAATGCAGTGTCTCTTCAAAACATAACTTTGCAACTTGCCCATTATTTGGAAAGCCTGAATTCATCATCACTGAAGACATTAGAGATTATCAAAGGTTTCCTATTGCTCACAAGAAACTGGTTTCATGAGAATGCAAGTGAAAATTATTCCAGAATGATGCAGACAATTCTTCTTATGGCCAATGAGAGTATACTTGACATAAATTTGTCAACTGAAGATATTAGCAACTTTTTGGGTTATCCAGAAAACATTTCTAAAGAAAGTTATTTGGATGTTGACTTTCTTACTCATCTACTAAACCAAGAACAGCTAATTAATTTCTCAGTTATTCAGTTTCTTCTTGAACACATCTTAATTAATTCAATAAATAAGTTAGCTGGTATTTTTCAACAAGCAGCCTTGAACGCAAGTGATACTTATCTTCACATAAAGAATTTTATTAACCTCACCTTGACTCATACACAGTCAGAAAATAGAGAGAGAATTATTTTTCTTCCAAGTGGCACACTAGATTCCATGGAACAACTTTTGAAAATATTCTTCTCCTCTTCATGGAAGGACAATTATGAAAGCAAAATAACTCTCTTGCTAAAAGAATTTCACAGTGATAGTACTGCAGAGATCGGGTGAGTCTGCTTTTTCACTTTACAGTGTATATGGTTGTAATTTATTAGAATTGACTTTCTGGCACATGTCAATGACCTCACTTACATCCAATATCTTTTAAGTGAATTTTGACTTAATAGATATTTTATTAAAATATCAAAATAAAATAACTTTGATGCTACTCATCTAACTTATATATATATGTATATATGTCCATATACACTAACTGCTGATGTTTATCTCATGTTTGAACTAAGAAATATATTAGAATTTTTACTTAAATGGAATCACTTATTGGATATCTGTGTATAGGGCATAATCATGATTAAAATTTGTATATTAACTGTCTAATCACACATGAGAGATTTAAATATTTTCATTTCAGTAAATCAGATTGATGTTTCTGTTTAGATTTGATTAAACTGCAAAATTTTATTTTAAGATTTATTTATTCATGCATCTAACAGCTGGGCTGCTGGCCAGAGGAGCAGGGGTGAGAGGATTCACCAGAGGCAGAGTGGGGAGCAGAACAGACAAATTGACTGAAATACACTGCTGAAGGGAACAAACAGCAAGCTAGGCAGGAGAGGTCTGCCATACCATGTTGGTCACCTCTGGGGATCAAACTCGTGCAGCAGTGGCTACAGAGTTTCACAGTCCTACTCTTTAACCTCTTGAGGCACCAGGGAGGCCCCCAAATTGCAAAATTTTAAAACTTTGATAGCCATGTCATGTTTTCTCATGTACTTTATGTGATTTCATCTCTCTTGAAGTTGGAGAGTGAAAAAGTCAGGAGAGGAAAATTCCAATTTATTCAATAATCTCTTCATTAGTCAGGACTCAATTACAGAAATAGAACAAGGATTTATTAAAAATGATGCATTGTGGCCCTCCCTGGTGGTGCAGCAGGTTAAAGCACAGCACTGAGAAGCTAAAACCACTTCCGCATGAGTTAGATTTCCGCCTGCCCCGGAGGTGACCACACGGCGTGGCAGACCTCTCCTGACCCGCCCATTGCTCCTCTCAGCAGTGTACTTTGTGGATCTGCCTGTCTCTGATGAAGCCTCTCTGGTGAAGCCTCTTGCCGCCCCTGAGCCTCTGGCCTGTACCCCAGTTCTGTATGAACAAATAAATCTTAAAAAAAAAAATGATGCATTGCAACAATTATGGAGACTGGCTATGAAAGCACAGAGTGTGTGGGGCAATGCTCACATGCAGCCAGGAATGCTCACACATAGGCTGGAGTACAGTTTCAACAATTTGTCCACAGTTGATAGTCAAGACAGACCATGGGAGAAGTAAAGCACTCTATTGGTGTTTGAGGTTGCTAGGTCAGGGAAGTCTTAAGTCATCTTGAAAGACATTCCAATTAATTAGGTGAGGTTCATTCAAGATACCTTCCCATCTAACTTCAAGTGAATTATCAGAAACTTTAATTATCTCTGCAGAATTACTTTCCAGCATCATCTAGATTAGTATTTAGCTACCAAATAGTCACTGACTCTTTGACCCTCCAGTCTCACAGGGAAAGTCAGTATATAGGCAACCCCATCCAGAAAGAAAGGTACTAGGGCAGTTATACAGCCTAGTCAAGCTGATACATCGTAGAGTTGTCAGAATATCTGTCAATTGTTAGGAGTTTGAACCTTTGCAAAAAGGTTGACTCTTATGTTAAGAAATACTTGATGATAGCTTTTGATTTCCAAAGCAAAAGTACATGGCTTTTATAATTTTTTAGGTTTATGAGATTATAGCAGAATTCTCCAGGAAATTCTTCTACTGTTTTCTTTGGCAGCAAATATTAATTTTCACCTGGAATGTATTTTTAACATGTCATCTTTCAATCAGCATTATCCTCCCATGATGACAACATAAAAAATTGAGTAGCATATGTTTTAATCTCTCAATGTTAAACATGATATGAAAATCCTATATTTACAGCTTTGTCTCTAAGGATAAAATGCTAGAAATTCAACAACTGCATCAATTTCCCACCCCCGCAAAAGAAGACAGTCTGATAAACATTTTTTCAAGATTAAAGGACTCTCTATATTATCTAATCAGTAGTTCATTAGGCAATCAAAATTATTTTGATAATCCTCAAGTTCTGAAGTTCATGAAAGATTTGTTCAGTATTCTTTTAAGGGGGATCTCAATGGAAGATAAGGATGAAAACAATTTGGACTTTCTTACAGTTGTAAGTCAATTGCTTTTCCACATGAATGGTTCTGAGAATCTCTTCAAGCTCAATCAAGACCTTAGGTCTGCTCTTCACCTTGTAAGAGAAACTTCAATAAATATAGCAAGCCTTATGGATACTCTTTTAAACTCTCCTAATGAGGACTTTTATACTTTGTATCCTATACTCCAAGAAGTTATACTTGCCAATCTAAGTGATTTGCTGTCCTTTATAAATAGTTCATTCCCTCTAAGAAACAGAGCAACATTAGAAATTACTAAGCAATTACTTGATGTGATATCAAGATCTGGTGAAGAAAGCCATATCTTGGAACCCCTCTTGGAAATGTCTAATACTCTGATCATGCTGATGAGAGACAGTGCTGAAATGAGAGCTCTTGCCATGTCAGTGAACTCTACTGTGAAGATTCTGAAACTAGCCAAGAAAGTTTCCAGGAAGTTGGTCACTATTTTTAAAACACATTTCACCTCAGTTACCAATGATACTATGAAATTTTATGACACCCTTTATTTCATTTTGCAGCAAAGTGCTCAAAGTGCTGTAAATAAAATATTTACTTTGAAAAAAGTGGATAATTTATTATTTGAAAATATAAGTGATTCTTTGGTCCCATTTTTTAAGTTGACCTTTGGAATGATTGGTGTCAAACCTAATATTTCCCAAGAATCTGAAATTTTTAATATGTCATCTAGCACATTCTTTTATGTGAACCAGTCCAATGAATTTTCTGGTATTTTGGAAGAAATTGCTGAATTTTTAACTTCTATGAAAGTCAGTCCAAGAGACATGGGATATCTTGTGGAAGCATTCAGTAATGAGAATCAAATATTTTCTATGGATCATGTTAACTTATGTGAAGAAGTTCTGAATTGTTTAATTCCTATAAATAACATCATCAATCAGATAGATTTTTTATATCTTAATACAATGGATGCTTGTCCTCAAGATACAAAATGGGAGAGAGATCATAAAGTAGAACTATTTTTGGATGAAATGCTATCACAAAACAGCACAGAAATAGGGGCTTACTTGAGAACAATGATTGCTTTCAGTCTAGAAGTTCTTTGGAATAATTTGGAAAATGATGACTGGAATACTTCTAATATATTGATGACATTTGTTCAGCACCCAAGCAATTTTCTGAAAATTATAAAAACAGTTGTAGAGATCTCCAGTGAAATTAAAAGTAACTATGAAGGTGATTTGAGCAAAGCTTTGTTTTTGGACAACTTTTTGATTCCTAATATAACTCATCAACAATTTGAGGATGAAATTCAGATTATATTAAGTAAAATAGCTCTCTTGAAGAAGAAGCTTCTCCTGAATAACTTTCAGTGGATAAATTACATGAAAAATTTACCTCAGTTCATTTTTGAGATTTTTATTAATACAACCACGGGAAGCAATATCACATCAGAAAAAGAGAGGTCCAAGAAAGAGAATATTGGCTTTCCTTACATTTTCAAAACATCATCATGTTTGGAGAAATACCTGAAGGGATTAATTGCATTGACTGAATATTGGCAAGAAGTACCACTGATTGATCAAAGGTAATAAGGCTCCTGATTCACTTCATTTTACTCCCACTACAGTAAGTATAAAATAGAATTACAAAGGAAGTAAGCTGAGCAGAGATAAGTAGCCTTTCCTAATACTTTGACTTCAATAAACAATAATTCAGGTCTAGTCTCTTTATTAACTGACTCATTATTTGATGATCAAGTACTGTTTTAATTTATTTTAAAAAAATCAAAATAACTATTTTACTTTCCAAATCAATATTTTCTTCTATTCACTTGTCCTGAGATTAGATATGTAAACAGTTTTTCTATTCACATTCTCTAGCAGTCAAGGTCCTACTATTTGATATGAAGACAAGAGTAGAAGGCTGTTCACTTCACAGAAAAGTATGTTTTTCAGTTGCAAACTGTGTAGGCCCTGCTGACTTGGTCCTAGTCTCTCACCCCTCCAAGCTACCCAGACCTGTCAGTTAAAGCATGAGAGGGCAAAGCACAAGAGACTGTGGTGATGGTTCACAGATGACTTGGTGGTAGTAATTTTAGAGACTATACCTGAGAGGAAAAAAATCAACCATTATACAAAAATGAAGTGATGTAATACACACACACACACATACATTTGAATAAATATAAAAAAAAAGCCTTTGGTCTAACAAAGTTGCTAGGTGACCAATAAACAAGCCATAATGAAATACACTCCTCATTTTAAAGTTTGCGAAACCAAAACTTGGGTAAGTTCACTGTCTTACTCAGTAAATCAAGATGATTGAAGGGGATTTGGAAGTAGCCCTTAGTGAACGTACAGAGAAACTGAAACAGTGCAATAAATAAAATCCTATAATTTCTCAAAAATATATTAATGTTGAATATATATATTTTAAAGATTTATTTATTCATACAGAACTGGGGTACAGGCCAGAGATGCAGAGGGTAAGAGGATTCACCAGAGACAGAGTGGGGAGCAGAACAGGCAGATCGAGGAAGTACACTGCTGAGAGGAACAGCGGGCGGGCGGGTCAGGAGAGGTCTGCCAGGCCATGGGGATCTCTTCAGGGGATCAAACTCATGCAGAATTGGCTTAAGCTTCTTAGTGCAGTGCTTTAACCCACTGCGCCATCAGGGAGGGCCCCCTCTATATATTTTTATGATTTTTTAACCAGAAATAAAAATCACATGTAAATTTATTTGCTAGGGCAACAAAACACAATTCAGTAATAACTATAACTTGCCCCCAAATTATTTTTTAAATAAGCCTTTTACATTGTTTGTTGTTTTATAGCAAGTCTTTATCTTGTATCTAGCTTCCTGAGGGGATTTTTTATAGTTCTGCTTTATCTTCAAAAGTATCAAATGACGTTAGGGTCCCTTTAATCAATAATGAACTAGCTTAATTATAAGGGAATCAACTACAGCGTCTTTATCCATAACACATTAAATCATTACACTTACTTTTGTCTTTATATATGCTCATAGTACTACCAATCTAAAAGGTAGTTATTGATATATAATAATTGAATTTTTAAGGTTAGATTCTCAATAATAGGAAAAAATTCACCTTTCGTACAAAGATTTTTGCATAAAATCCAGTAGGTGTTTTGTTTTTTTTTTTTAAACCCAAGAGTAATACTTTGCTATTGTCCTGCAATCACATTAATACCTTAGTGGTACAAAAGTTAAACAGTTTTCAGATAGTTTCATCCTCCCCTAGACAAAGAAAATTTAAAACATACTTTAAAAACATTGAGTTGCATTAAACAACACGACTTCACTCTGGCCCCTGAAAGACTGACTGAAATACAATGCTGAGGGGAGAAGTGAGCAGGTCAGGAGAGGTCTGCTGCACCATGTGGGTCACTTCCCCTGCCAGGAATTGAACTTATGCTACAGTGGCTGCGGGTCACTTCATAGTATTGTGCTTTAACCCATTGTACCACTAGGGAGGACTCATTTTTTTTTTCTTTTCTTTTTAACACTCTTTGATAATTTACCTTAATATTTCAGAAAATGGATCATGGCAAGAAGACAAAGCACACATCAGTTTTACTACCGACAACAATTGTACCTAAAATTATCATTGGAGATGTGGTATATATATATATATTTTTTAGCAATTTATAGTATGTCATCTGTAAGGTTTATTAGGGAGGGTAGGTCTTATTCTTGACAGTACAATTGATGCAAAGTACAATTGATGCAAAAGGCTTTTAGATTTTTACCCTTTATTGTCATTGTTTATATTTTCCCCTCAGTGTTATTGCAATGTGTCAGGCTTTTCAGCAGCCTGTGAAGACCCCAGCATCCCTGGTGACTCTACAGAAAGTGCAGGTGCTTGTACTGCATGTACTCACTCTCTTTGCAGGTAAGCTTTGCTCATTTACCTTTGCACTACTTTAGAGCAGGGTCTGTCACTGAGATCCATTGCTGTATAATAGTAGCTAAGTGTAGTAGCACTTAGGTGATTATGATTTAAATGAATAAATTTGTCTTCTAAGATCCTATTTCTCAATTTTTTTACTAAATATTTTTTAAAGATTTATTTGTTTATGCATACATGAACTGGAATATATGTCAGAGGTGTGGGGGGTTAAGAGGATTCACTAGAGACAGAGTGGGAGCAGAATAGGCAGATTGACTGAGATACACTGCTGAGGGGAGCAGCAGGCAGGTCAGGAGAGGTCTGCCACACCATTTGGGTCACTTCCCTGGCCAGGGATCAGCTCTGTCAGCAATGGCTGCAAATAGTTTCAGAGTACTGCACTTTAACCCCTTGCACAACCAGGGCGGCTCTATTATTATATATTTCATTGAAATTTCCTTTTAGTGGCAGTTTTGAAGGAGGTAACCTAAGACTATGGACCTTAGAGTACTTATGATTGGACAGAGCTGTAAAGTAATATCACACATGCCTGAGTGTCATCTCCTCATGGCCAACTTCCCAAGACTGCAGAGTCCCCTGTATTGAAGGCATGGGGGACATAGGAGTGCCCTTGGCAGTGTTATACGTGCAGAAGGGGAGCAAGGAAGAGAAATGGGGGAACCGATCTTGGCTAGGGTAAGACAAAACAGAGGTATGAGAGGTCCATTGAATGGAATTTATGCCTTTATTCCTGTGTGGAGCCAGTTAAGACTTTCTCTGCCTCTCTTTGTCCCCCAAGTTTATGGGGACACAATACTCTTATATCATTTATTCTCGGCTGGATTATTATTTAGATGGCTATTAGATTGTTATCCTTAAATAAACTCTATAAGGATGTTGGTGGCCATACTCCTGGTTCTTTGGCAGAGTGGCCACTGCATTATGGCTCTTGCAGGTCAAAACAAGCGTGGTTCATGGTGGTGCCTGTTTATTGACAATCATAGAGTCAGCTTATGGGGATTGCCAATCAGCAGTCCATAATAGATGGTTGTTGAAGAAATGAACACATATCAGGAAACCTATGTGCTTATGTCTCTGCCCATTCAGATTCTTGAATGGACAAATGTGGGATTTTACACCTTGTAGGAATGTTCACACGTGCATGGAAGTAGATAGGTTACCTGTGTGTTCTGGATATACTTGGTAGTACTCAGCCAGCATGGGGCTGGAAAGACACTTATGCGCATAGTGTGGTTCTCTACACTATGGCACAAAATTACCTGGTCACATCCATCATCAGAGTGGGAGTTTATGGGGACTTGGAGTGGTTAATGGGTAGACGTGGAAATGGGAACGGGAGCCAGAATGCAGAGCTGCTCCTCTTGGGGAGTTCATGAGAGAACTAGTGAGCCTTAGGTAGGAACCAGCATGTTAAGTAGTTTTTTTAAAAAAAAATTGGTGGTCACCAGAAAGGGGGTGGGGTATGGCAAATTGGGTAAAGAGAATGGGCAGAAAAATAGACAATTTATGGGGCTCTCAGTAGTATATACAGATGTTAAATTGTAATTCTGTACATCTGAAACCTATCTATATCTATAAACCAATATTACTTCAGTTTTTTTTTATTTTAAGTAAAAAATGAAAAAAAAATTCAGAAAGAGAAATAAATGCCCACAAAAGAAATTAAGGAGATTTAGGATAAACTGCTTTTACTACTGAACATTCTTTTTTCTCTTTTTTTCCCTTTTTTCATAGACATATATCTAAATGCCTCTCTAATCAGAAAGTATATATTTTAATTTTTTTTTTTAAATTGAGGAGCAGGATACCCTCATCAGGTATTAACACCATAGTGTACCCCCTAAGTCAGTAATATTCTACTCCACAGACTACTGTACAGCCTGCTCTTGTTCTTGCTCCTTCACATCCTGTCTCCATCTTGGTGCTTCAGGTCTATGTTATCTTTTTCTGACTATTAGTTTAATTACTTTAAGTTCCACAGATTAATGACATCAACCAGTATTGTCTTTCTCCTTCTCACTTATTTTACATAGCAATATCCCTTCAAACTCTACCCTTCTTGCCACAAATGGCATGCATTTATCTTAATACTGGAAGTCTTTAAAAAATAATGAATTAATTAAATGTAATTAATGTAATTAAATGAATGTAATTAAAAGCATTAATGACATTAAATAATTTATCCTGAATGTTAATATTATAACTTTAAGGTTTTGAATTTTATCTTTTTTTTAAAGATTTATTTTTATTTATGCATACAGAACTGGGGTACAGGCCAGAGGAGCAGGGGCAGTGAGAAGATTCACCAGAGACAGGGTGGGGAGCAGAACAGGCAGACAGATGAAGTACACTGCTGAGGGGAGCAGTGGGTGGGTCAGGAGAGGTCTGCTGTGCCATGTGTTCACCTCCGGGGTGGGGAACGAGCTCATGCTGAAGTGGCTTTAGTGTCTTAGTGCAGGGCTTTAACCCACTGCGCCACCACGGAGGGCCTGAGAAATAATAGTTTATTCAGAATTCTAAGTTAATATAAGTTGCATTATGAAATTAAAAAAAAATCTTAAAGTAAATAACCAAAAGAGACTTCAGTGCTGGTAACTACTAGAAGAGGTTGAAATAGGCGATGTACTAGCAAGAGAGGAGAGGAGTGGAGGGTTCCTGGATATATGTCTGGGTGGTGATTTTGCAGATGAAATCTGAAAGTAAGAAGGGAGTTTGTCCTGTTCTCTTGAGAACCCCCCAAAAAGGCCCCAAGCCTGAGAAGCACTCCTAAAGATAATATAGCAACTCAATGTGTGTAGCAGGACTGGATGGATAAATGAGTAGTATTGACACTAAATTTATTCTTTTTCATGATTACTCCACCCAGTCACTGGCAGGATTCAGGCTCATGTAACTTCAAGAGTCTGCAGTGCTACTCACCAGATGGTGGAGAAACCCTAACAATCATGTGCCATGTGTCAAGTTTAAATTTCCCTAATAATCTCAGCATCAAAATAAAATGGCACCTGGATAATAAGCAGAATTACTATGGGGATTGCCAATCAGCAGTCCATAATAGATGGTTGTTGAAGAAATGAACACATATCAGGAAACCTATGTGTTTATGTCTCTGCCCATTCAGATTCTTGAATGGACAAATGTGGGATTTTACACCTTGTAGGAATGTTCACACGTGCATGGAAGTAGATAGGTTACC